GTGCAAGTGCGCCACTCATGGTGTGGGTGGGGTGTACAGCTTGGGTCGGATGGGGCGATGCAGCAGCTGTTGACGCAGTGCACGCGCCTGCGAAATCTCACCATCACCAACAGCTCGCTCGTCAAGACCCTGGGGCTTGTCGCTGCTCGTCTGCCCGGCCAGCCCGTCACCTGCATTCCCCCGCTCGTCCTCCAGGCTCTCAAGTATCTCCCTCCACTCGTGTTCTAGCTGTAAACGACCATGGTCTAACCACCTTCGTGCCAGGCTGCGAAGCTGCGCGAACGTCAACAACTCCACCCTGGCGCTCATCGGCCGCGCTTGCCCCGACCTGCGCGAACTCACCCTGACCGGATGCAGGAAGCTCTTAGACGAAGGCCTGTGCCGCTTGGTGGGCCTGGAGGACCTCGTCCCGCAGCCCACCGACCCGTCGGCCTCGTCGTCCTTGGCGCCTGCTCTTGCGGGTCCGTTGACGGTCGTAGCGCAGCGCTCTGAGGTGACTGCCGAGCCGGCGGCGGGCTGCACGCGACTCGAGAAGCTGGTGCTCCGGGGATGTTACCTTCTCACGAGTTCTGCCGGCGCATCGAGGGCAGCGGATTCATGAGCTGGACCATGGGTCCGCAGCTCCCGCTCGAGGTGCTGGACCTGCAGGGGCTGGAGTACCTAACCGACAGCGCCCTCGAAACGCTGGCGACATCGGACCACGCCGGCCTCTTGGCCGAGCTGGACCTGCGCTCGTGCCCCCTGGTCTCCAACCGGGGGCTCCACTTCATCACCGCCACCGCCACCAACCTGCGCACGCTGCGGCTCGAGGCCCAGGAGGAGATCGACGGCGACGGCCTCGCGCTGGTCCAGCGCCGCCTCGGCCACAGCCTCACCACGCTCGACCTCGAGCGCATGCCGGGACTCACCGGAGGTGCTGTCTGGGTAGGTCTAAGTAGTAATAAATCCATGCCGTGCAACCAGGCCTGGAATACAAAACAATGGGTAGCCACTGGGGGTCTACACCCCACATATGATTCATGTTGTTGAAGCTGGAGGGCAGGCTCACAATGTCAAGCAATGCAGATGAAGATCTGGATGGGAAGGGACAGGCTCATTTTTGTGGCTGTTGCCATTGGATGAGAAAGGCAGCAGCCACACATGCAAGCACTGTCACTGCCACAGCAACAACCCACCCTGCATGCCATACACAGGTTTGTCACCAAAACCACTGGTGGAGTCAACACAACAGTACCTAATCTCCACATACATGTATGTGCTTCTTAAATCATCAACAAAATTAATTTGACAGGGTGTTAGAACAATAGAAGCCACCCAGTAAAGGAGATGGTACAATCTTTGGCAAAAAATGTCTGAAGAAAAAACCAAATGAAAAAGAACAACAACACTGATAGGGATGGCACCTGGCCAAAATTGCACTACTGCTGAGTCAACCTCAACAGTAGGAAGAAGGGATGGATTGCTAGGACACAGGAGAGGAAGAGTGGGGAGGGGGGATAATGGGGGTGGGGGGTGGCATGGTGCATTGTGAGTGTGGCTTGGGTGGTGGTGATTTGAGTGAGAAGTGGGGTGGGTGTGGTTGGGTGGGGAGGGGCAATGTGGGAGAAAAGCCTATGGATGAAGCTGCAGCTTAACAGAGTCTGTTTTTGGTTGTTGTTCTTAGCCTTGCTGTTGCATGGCAACAATTTTAATACAATTTTCTTTTTCACTCCAGGACAAGGAAGTGAGCCAAGGTGGGTGACATCGCCCAGGCCAAGCTGTCATCGGTCACAGTGATGATGCACGTCCGAGGATCGACAGAGGTAGTTTCGTTCCTACCGGCCGTGGGCACGCGGAGGAGTGTGGCCGCCGTGTGGGGTTTGCCGCCCGGCTGCTGCGCGCGTTTGTTGCTCGTGATCACCATGATGTGCTCCTCCTCGGGGAACTGCTCCGCCAGGTAGCGCCTCTTGCTGATCAGCGCCTTGATGTCGTCACTGTAGCTGAGCGCGTCGTCTGCAGGTGCCCCAATCTGCGTGTGCTTGGTGTCGATGTAGACCCGTACGTTCTACACACGCCACATGGGGATGAGGAGCTTAGCCAAGTGTGGGACACAAGAACCATCCGCCAGAGAAAGGGGGAGGGAAACTACACGAACCTTTGGGGGGGTGTGCGAAAGCTGCTCATTCAGCACACCGTCTACGGCATTGGACCCCGAGAGGAGCAAGGCGTATGGAGAAGTGCTCCCCAGCTCGACTGTGGTGCCGTCTTCGAGGATGACGGAGGTGGGCGGCACCTCCTTCGAAGCTTGTGGCCCCCCACCCTTGGCTGCCCTCCACCACACTCCGGCTCCGGCAGGCTCTGAGACGTGGCGCACAGTGGCCGCCGGTACGAAGCTCAGCTCGGTGAGGGACGGATGACAGATGGTGCCGCAGAAGAGGTCGGCGGCGTCGACGTAGGTGAGCCCCTGCCGGCGGGCCCACTCGCTGGCGACATTGTGCCGCAGCACTCGGTGCTCGAGGGCTAGCTTCTCGAAGCTCGCGGCGGTGGGGTAGAAGTCGGCGAGTAGGCGGGAGGCCTCTTTGAGCAGCTGGTGGAGCTGGTGGCGCTGGTGGCGCTTGGATTTGACAGCGAGGTCGAGCGCCGCCTTGGCCAACACGAAGGGCATTCCATCACCGCGAGCTCCTGGACGTCCCAGGTGTTGACCCAGCTGTCTGGCTGGCCGGGATCGGATGGCGGCGGGGGGCGCAAATGCACGACACCGATCTTCTCGAGCTCGGCCACGGTGATGGGTCGTGGTGGTTGTTGCGGAGTGGAAGGCTCCTCGAAGGCGACCACCGATTCGCGAGTGACGGGAATGCCAGCGAGCGCCAGCAGGAGGCCAAACTGTCCAGAGCCCTTTCTGCCCCAGCTCTCGATGTTGAACGTGTTCCTGACTTCCTTGGTGAGCTCGGTCGTGATCTGGTTCAGGCGGAGGGGCTTGGAAGGCGAGCCCTGGGTCTTCAGAACGCGTTCGAGACACTCGAGCGCGCGCGCGTTGCCGCCGATGGTGGTGAGAAGGCGTTCGAACGGCTTTCCGCCCTTCTCGAGCCACTCCTGCCCGCTCACCATTTCCGGCTGGCCTGGTTGGGGCTCGAACCGGAACTGGAATGAGGCCACGATCTGGCGGACGGTCTTGGCTGAGAGGGGCGACAAGAGCACGCCGGTCGACGTGGCATCCGTCGCGTGCAACACCTCGGTCGCGTGGCGCGCGGCAGTGCCGGAGAGTGTGCCCAGAACGTAGAGTCCTTGGCTCTGGCTGATGGCGCCCTGCAGCGCGCGGTTGAGCGCGGTCGACAGAGGCTCCGGGGCCGACCGCACGCTAGACCCTCCACCATAGGGTGCCATGGTGTCGAACACCGACTGGATCTCGTCGATGGCGATGTGCAGCATACTTGGAATGCGTGGCGATGGATCATCCCTCGTAGGCGCCGCCTTGTGCTGCCGTATGGCGAAGAGCACTCTCCCCAGGGAGAAGGTGCCCCAGAGCGTGGGATCCTCTCTCACCTGCCACCGGAAGGCGTCATACACCTCGGAGTAGGGGACGTGCGGCCACCAGTAGTTGTGTGCCAGTCGCAGGCCGAGGATGACCTCCGGTGGCCACTCGGTCTCATCTACCTTGAGCGCCAGGCCGTTGTGTCGAATGTCCAGCACCACGGTCTTGCTATTCTTGAGCGCAGCGTGCAGGGATTCCACCTCGTCGTCAGGGGACCGGTAGGCTTTCGAGGCGTCAGACGTCAAGTAGTCGGCCAGAAGAGCCAGAAACTCGAGGTTGAAGCGGGTCTTGCCCACACCGCTCGCGCCGTGGATGAAGCCCGTCGACCAGGCCTTCTTGTCGTCGAAGTAGCCGCTACGATAGGCCTGCCAGCTTGGCTGGACCACGCCCCTCCAGAGCGCTTCGACGGAGTCCATGCGGTCCTGTGCCCGGTACAGGAAGTGCGTTGCCGTCGGGGGTGCCTTGAGCTTAGCGCTTGGCGGCGGCCAGCTCCATTTCGTCGACAGCTGCTTCAAGTACTCATGCGGGTCGCCTGCAGGTAGTGTGGTGGTGTGAGTAGATGTGCATGATGGTGCGTGGTGGTGCGTGGTGGTACGTTGGTGTGGGCCAGCCAGCTGGTCGCCAACGCTGATACCGTGGTTGGAATGAAGCTCCTGAATGATGGTGGTGATGATTGCATCGGTGAGATGAAAGAATTGAGGAGAAAAAGAGGGGGCAAAAAACCTCAGAGTAACGCTGTTGTTTTACCCCCACAAGGGCCGATCTGGCGAGGACACAACCTGATGAGGTGAAAAAGTGTCAGATCCAACGAAAGCTGCAGCAGCTAATGGAATGCGCAAGAAGTAACGGTACCTGTTGTGGAGAGATAACACGTTTTGGGAAGGAGGGAATGACTGCGCCGGAGGCAGGAAGCCCGAGCGAGAGAACGAGTTGACGCGACCCTACGCATTAAGAAGTCCACAATGAATCAGCAATTTTTTTTTTTGAATTCGGGGGCGTGCGTTGGTGGCGGGATTCGAACTGAGAAGTTACTCCGAACCTTGCGTGGGGCAAACCGTCCACCACACGATTGCAGATCAACAGTTTGATAGGGAGACATCGAAACGAAAAGAGAGGAGTGAAGATGCCACCTGCCATCTGCCCGAAATGCGGGGGCTCGGAATCGGACAGCTATGAAAATTCTCTCATCTGCCTGGCCTGTGGTTGGGTACGTTCATCTCCAACCCCCCCCCCCCCCCCACCAACCCAAACCCATCTAGCATCTGGCAATTCAATCTGTATGGTCTAATCGCGTTTTGGTTGCTCGCATTGATAGGTGCTGGAGGAAAGCAACATCGTCGTAGAACAGACCTTTTCCGAAAGCGCCGGTGGCAGCTCGGTTGCCGATGGCCAGTTCGTCTCCGCAACGGGGAGCTCCTTCCGTGGGTTCGTGTGCCCTACTTGTTCTTTGTCGTCAGATCCTTGAGCCTTTCATCTCACTGCTGGCTACCTGCGCTTGTGGTGGTCGTGGTGCAGCATGCGCGGTGTGAATCGCGAGTCGCGCGAGATAACGCTGGAGAACGCGAAGCGGCGGATCAGCAGCATGGCCGGCTCGCTGGGCCTGACCGCCCACCACACCGAGTCGGCCTTCCGCCTCTTCCTCCTCGCGCTCCAGCACAACTTTGTGCGCGGCCGCAAGTCCGAGTACGTCATCTCCTCCTGCCTCTACGTCGTCTGTCGACGAGAGAAGACCGCCCGTACGCCGTCCCCGCTCGCCACACAACCCATACAACCCCACGCACGACACACACATGACACACAATACACGGCCACGCC